TAGCCGGCTCGCTTCCCTGATAGTCTGGCTTGTTTGTCGTACAGTTGCACGGTTTTGTGCAACGACGTGCTTTCTCTCCATAATTCGAGTGATACCAACAAATGCCAACTGCCCGTTTGGGTGACCTAAGGCGTTGTCTGGACACTGACCTTCTTTCGAACGTAGATCCAGCACATCGAGGATGAATCGTTGCAACAGTCGCCTGAAGTGATGCTAACTGCCGTGTTAAGTGTGTTATCTGTTGCTGAATGTTGAGAGCGTTACTCATATCTTCTCTACTGAAGGATTGTACCGCGTTAATTCCGCGACTATCGGGATATATTTCCATCATATTATCAGCCATATTAGCCAAATCGTCAAGGGTGATAGAGGTTCCTGAAATACTGAAAATTTGTCTAACATTATGTGGTAACCTTTGTAACCACACTTGCTTAAGTAGTGCCTCGTCTAGTTTGTATTGGCCGGCTAGCTGTCTCATATGTCGGAGCACCTGTGAAGATCTCTTATCCCCTAGTTCGCATGAGGTAAGCAGTTGTTGTAAACGTTTTTCGTCTGGGAGCAATGTGCGTTGGATTACTGCAGCTTTTATCTTGTCATAAGGGTCAGGTTCTGGTACGTTGTCGATCAGGTCAAACATTATCTTCTGGGTGTGATGAATGAAGGTGGTTGGTTGGTGGGCTATTTATATCAATAAGTTTACTAGGAGAGTGCATGGTGTGAAAAACAAAATGAACTAGTGTAACAAGTAAAAACAATATAAACAGTATATGTAAGATCCATTTTGAATGCTTTGTGTGTTCGTGAAAATCCCTCCATGTATATACATGCACTTTGTTCCTATTGATCCTCTTAGTTGTACATTGTTAACTTTTTGGCTACATTTGAATTGCTCATATTTGTATTTTATTATAGTTTTCGTGTTTACTACACCTTCACTAATTCCCCATGTTTCTTCCCGAACTGCACTTATGTTGTTTTACTTTATACTAAGTCTGGGCGGCAGCCATTTTGGTTTATCCCTGCTTTTGATTGCTTGACCTGTGTTGAATGCAATTGTGCATTTTGGTTGTGAATTGAAGCACTCTTCCAGAATTGAAAACATTCTGTGTTATAGAGCGACCAATTATTACCTTTTGAACGAATCTGTACGTGATCTATCCAGACAAGATAGAATAACATTTATTTGTGGTGATTGGTAATTTTCTTGCATCCTGTATCAACTTTCTTATTTATTGTAGTTTATATTTGATCAATTGGACAATTATTGGTTGGATAGCTGAGTGGTTATATTTGTTTAGGTAATAATGTACACTTAAATTTATGATAAATTATAGAACCGCTATCTTACCCAATTACTTTGTTTTGGTTTCAAACGGGCGAGGGCGCGTATCTAACTCATCCAGACAGCTGTCCGGCAGTCCAAACCATAGTTTGGATCTTACAGTATACGTCTATAGTAAACTGAAGGCTCACCAAATAATTGTGGTGGAGCAGACAGTTATGAACGCGAAAAGTATCAATAAAGTTACTGAAGATCAATAGTAATACTAATTTATACCAGTTTATTGTTACAAATATAATAAAAATTTGGACGTTACGTAAATTGACCAAATGTTGCGTGTTCTGATTGGGTCCGGAATTGTAAATCCACAATTATAAATGCTTGGTGATTCTGATCGCGTTGACGAACTCTCAAGTGATATAATCCAACGTAGAATGTGATATATTCCAATTGCAGTCTATAAATAATGATAGTATTTGATTTAAACTTCCGTTAACTCAATCACAGACGAAGATAGAACGAGGAATGTGTGAGTAGTAGTGTATTTGTTAGCCAACAAGAGTATGTCACGCTATGTCAGTACCATAACGGAAAATGTGTTCAAGGTCATTTACTAAAACAACAGTTACAGTCATTTAATGTTAAATATACATACAGTGAAAGGTTGACAAAGTAAATACAAATAACATTGAAAACTATTTGCAAAATAAGCTTGTCGGGTCTATCTCCACAGATGACTGACTATCTTCTGTCGCATAGGTGTGTATGCTTGGAAAAATGTGGTCCATAAATCAGTAGTCGGTGTCCCTCACTGTTGTTTGATGCAGTGCACTACCCAAGTTTTCACGTAGGATGGCTAAGTTAAAAGCCCTTTATTAAAGAGCTTAAAAGGCTCGGCATTACATAGAGTATTGTAAATATTTTAACAGGAGTCGAAAATAAAAATGGTGATAACATTCAAAAGGCTTTAAATGCAAACTGATATATAGGATGAACTATCCGAATATGAAGTAAGCTGACTTTACCAACATGCCTACAAATGGTGAGTTCATAGAAGGGATCGAACATTCTTACGATATTTAAAAACTAAAACAGTCAAAAAAGATTTCAAACTCCTAATAAATCACCACTAGGAATACTGAAGCCGAGTGACCGGAGAAACCTCATTAACTTGAAATTAAGAGATGAAGAATGGATTATCACTAAAATTTAGATGCAAAGAAACCTGCTATATTTTTTCTAAGCTCTACCCAAAGTCACTTGAGATAGTTTGATTTATGCACATTAATCCTGTCATTTTTGTTCTTACATGTTATTTTAAAATCCCTGAGTAGCAATTTTGACATTAGTAAAAAAATGTTTGTTTATTGTCTCTACTCGAAGACTTTTTAGTCATAGTGATTGACTTTGTTTAACTTCTTAAGTTTATCGGTATTGATTGACCTTCTTAATGATGATTAATTTGAAGTAGTCAGAAGAGTATGTGTTTTTGTTCTTAAGAAATGTCACGTCAGAGTTTTTGCTCAACAATAAAGAAGCTTTGATATGTAACTGTGTTTGTAGGAGATAAGTGGATCAACTTTAGCAACTCCTCAATCCTATCGTTTTCGTACGACTAGACTCCGTAGTTTCTAAATGCCGCTGTTAAAATCTTGACCAAAAGATATATGTAGTGGCCGTTCAGTTGGTAGCTACTTGTTAATTCCAAAATTTCCTCATCTGCAGATTGTGAAAAGGCAAAAAATATGTGTAGAAACGTGGAAAATCGAACTTTAAGAAAGTGATACTTGGAATGTAACCTATTGAAAATAGACCTACCGCTGTTTCCACTTTTCAACACTCAAAAATGTGAGTACATTTGACTCTTCATTTTCTACATCAGCTGGCGTTTCGGTCAGAGGGTAATAAGCTGAAAATGTATCAATATTTCCTTGTCATCCAACCTAAAACCCAATCTCACACTATCTTGGTTAAATTTTGTGGTTTTTCCACAAGTCGTAAGAAATATGGTAGTCTTCCTCAGAGTTTGAGAAAAACTTCCAAGTGTTATAATATTCTGTGAAACTGTTGGGGAAATCCCAAAAGTTTGAGGATTTTTCCCAGACCTGAAAAAATTTCAGGGTTTTGTGCCATCTCCCCAATGTTTTCTATAGTGTTTCCCCCAAAATTTACTCAAACCGGACAAAGTTTTTCTTAAAATAGAGCAATCGGAAATCTTCAAATACGTTCAGTCGATGATGTAGGGATAATTATGCATTGGCTTAGTTTGTTCTTTGAGCTTTTAGTATCTTCATTACTTTCCACTTTCGACTGCTTTAGTTGATAGTTCAAATTACTGATTTGTGGAAAAACAGTGTCATCAAATACGGTATCCATCCGTGCAAAACGTCTTACTGCAGCCACGCTCTAGCTCAATCAGAAATACGCCAACATCATACCTGAATTTTGTCGTTTTCGGTCTGAGTCAGTGATGTAGAGGTTAGGCAAACGGTTCTTGGCATAGGTGACAAACCATTCGATAAAGTAGTAAGATTTCACCGACCGAGGTAGTTAGGACGCCCATTACGTATGCCTAACAACCACCTACTTCGACAAGTGATGCTCATTAATGCTAAAGTGGATTAGAAGAAAGCTAGGAGCGGACAAACCTAACGCGGCATCAGTCTATGAAATCACTGACTGTTAGTGTAAACCCTGTAAGTAGATGCAAACTACCCGGTTAAGGTTCGCATGATAACGCCAATCAATGATTGAAGACGTAAGATGTCATGAATCAGAATTGGTGGGACTAATTCAAGTACATTCTTTTTTATCTTCTCAGTCTTGAATCCAGGTGTCCCTTTACACACACTTTTCCGCTCCGTTTTACCAAACGATATTACCAAGCTTTATTATTTCTTACTGTTATTGCTACCACAGTATTTTGATGTCTGTTGTTATTTCCATCTGGTCGTACTGTGGTATGGGGACTTGGTCTAACACAGACCTGTACTAGGTTGTATGTTGATGATATCTATCTGTCTGTTTTTAATCAAACAAATTTTGAAATAACCTGACTAGCATGTCGATTTGTTTAAAAATATGGTAAAAAAAAAGATTACTAATATAGTTTATATTTGGTTTTTGCGATAGATAAGGCCTGATACCCTGTCACCGGTAGTACCCACAGCCTTATCAATGTGTAACAACTCTAATTCATTCCAACGTGCACGTACATGGTTAAATAATTCACTTATTCTATGGGTGACATTATTACTTTCCAGCTACTTATTCCTCACTTAATGGGTCGTACTGAGGCGAAAGCTATTAAGTAATTCCTTGATTTATTGTTCATTTAGTGGCTAGTACTACAAGAAAAACTACATTATTTGGTTTGGACTATTGATAACACAGCTATATAAAGATCGGGTTCATTTTAGTTGGAAAGTTTCTAGCAGTATCTAAAAATTTTAAGGTATTATTACGTTCACCAAGTCATCGACAGTTTTCGATGTTTAAGGACTTAAGCACTTACCCAACTAAGCTCCCTCCATATATATATATATATATATATATATATATATATATTCGTCTTTTATTGGTGCTTATTTTCTTTTTCACTATTATAGCTCAATGTAAACGCACTGGCACATATGTAAACAACACTTGAAAGCAAAAAATACCATTCCGAAAAATTTACTGTAAAACTATTAGTTCGTGGTTTCCTATTTCTAACTACATGGAAATGTCTTCTTGGTCCTCAGATTTTAAAGAACAATCAAGGTTGTGTGATGATCTAGACTGTGATATGGATTATTTACTCTCTGGAAGGTATGAAATACTGGCATCGGCCAATACCACTGTTCATTGTAATTCTGTACAGTCTGCATTTGCTTTACCAAAATCAACAAACTCATCCTTTTGCTCACCAAATCAGACACATCCTATAAATTCGATATTCCCTTGTAGAAAAGTCATTACATGCTCATGTCGGTGCTGTGATCCATTCTCAGATCACCTCAGTCATATGACAAGTAGAAGTATAAACCAAGTACATGATAAAAATATTGACTTTCCGTGTATTATTATGGATGATAATGATGTTGATGTTGATAATGGCGACGATGAACAGCCTAAATTAAATTTAACTGATCCATTAATGACGGATATTGCGGCTGGGGAATTAGGTTAGTATATTGGCTTTATGTTGTTATGTTTCAACTGAATTGAACTTTATTGTTGCGGATTTCCACTAAAACAAAAATGTATACTTGTTTTTAACTTAAAATATGTACATGATACTCTACTAATTGTTTATGTAGATCATTTACTAACTTCTACGTATTCATTACCACTAGCTGTTTTTGTAAACTACCACATTTACTTTCCTGTAATTTATACTTACTCGGGCTGAACCATGATTATCATGTAACATAGCACTAACCACCTGCTCACCATATTTACATAATAAACTTCGAAGGTAAAGGTAAATCCTAGGCTAAACGAATGGTCTATAAAACAACTTCATCAAACCCTGTGTCCATATTTATGTGGACAAATAAACTTCGTAATTTCATATCACATTGCAGTATTTTTTAGAAGTTTGTCGACATTTATTTTGCTTCAGAAAACTTTTCAAACTTTTCTGGCCATACAATGCGCTGTGGATGACTCTTGTTTGGTCTAACTTAGAATCATGATACTCTATAAAACATGGACTGATTTTAAAAGACTGAACATCCAGTACTCTGTGATGGTTATTCCTGGTTTTCAGCTGTAAGACATGACTTCAAGGTGAGAATATTTAAGGACTTCCTGTTCGATTATTGAGTGGATAAACCGGTACCCAGTAAATGAGTTACACTTGTACTATACATTAGGTTTGGCTTAAGGTCTAGTATATGAATCAGTATTTGGTTATTGAGTATCATTATTTAAGCTAATATAAGTTTCATGAAAACCACAGAATAAATACAGATAACATCATGATATAACCATTGAACTCTTATGAATGAACTCCTGTTTGATTATTTTATATATTCTTCACCAGTTCATGTTGTTGATTTCTACTAAACTAGTTTAAATGTGTTTCCTTGTTAAGATCTATAATTTCGCCATACATGAGCCATGACAATTCAGCAATAAGCCTGTTTTTAAACACTTTTACTTTGAAGATAGTCATTAATTCATTGATATGAGGTGAAGCGTAACCCTGTAGTCTAGCTTCCGAATTAAATTGCCTGTAATTATTTTACGAGTGTTAGAGATGCGGAAGATTTTTTAGAGGTATATGTTCAGAATAAATTTCCATAAAGTATAATTGCCTTCTTTTTTATCCATGTGTTGCTCTCTGACATAAGCATAGGGTTGTTTAAATATTAGGCATACTCAATGACTTTTTAGTTTTATTTGAACATAGTTTAGTGAAAACACAATAAACTACAAGAAACAGTGTCAGTCACATTGATTCAAAAGGTGACAGTCATGATAATTGTACTTAAAGTTAATATGTTTAAAACCTGTTTTTTTCAAATACCTACGGTAATTACGAATAAATACGTAAGAAGAAAAGTAACCAAAACCAAAGGAAAATACTCATTCTGTTCCAAATATGTACAAATACAGTATAGTAAACTTTTTATTTCTTGAAGACAAAGGAAATGGAACGAACAAAACAAAAATTATTGATAAGTTCCAGTGTATTTATAATAATAATAATAATAATAATAATAATAACCAGATGACTTTATTCACCTAAACATTGATGACTATGTTTTTTAAGAAATTTTCCAGTGAACACCATAAGCTATAATCTTTTTGATATTGGGTTGTCGTAATGATTTTACTTTTCTGTATCACTGAGTGAAGTGGATAAAAAAAAACATCATGAAGATAAGTCAGTAGTAAACTGGTAGTATTCAAGTACTCACCTTATTCCGTGGTGTTTTTTTCTACCAGTTGTTTGGAAACCTTCAGGTGATATGGTAAGAACTCGGTTGCAATGACACCGTTTCATTACCAACTTTTTACATTGTATATATTTAATCTTTTAATAATGAGATCATTCGTTTTGCTGTGATCTTAGCTAAACTTTGTTTATAGTTGTTGATCTCTTTCCATGAATTTATCGACGCACAAGTTTACTTTTATTGCCTAACCTTTACTAGATACATATTTATATCAGTCGGTCAGTCAATCAGCTACAACGTAGGACCAGGCACATATATGCATCGGTCCACGTTGCCATACCTCATTAACACAACAAGGTGGACACCAGATTCATAAAAGTAGTTAATTCAGTGGTAGTAGCATATAAGCGAAATATTGCACATAAGGATATAGTACAGGAAGAAAGAATTAGTTCGTAGAAGTAAAGATATGAAGCAATTTTATTCTCTTAGTTTAAGGGAGGATAGAGAGTGTATACACCTACGTCATTGTGATCGATTCTGAGCCATGTCACCCACAGTCTCGAACCATTGGTTACGATAATCACGCGGACCCCAACCAAGTAGTCTGCATCTACCAACATGGCTCAGACTGGAAGTTAGTGACTTCAAGGACTGATGCCAGGTTTTGGTTTGACAGCCTCTAATATTCTTCAAACCGTCCACAACACCGGTTAGCATTGCACATCGTGGTAATCGGTGTTCGGGCATACGTAACACGTGGCCTGACCATCTCAGTCGATGAAGATTCACAACCTCATCAACTGATTTACCATCGTTCCCTAATACCCTGCATCTAATCTCACCATTACTTACCCATTGATTCCAGTAGATGCGAGCAATATTTCTAAGACATCTGTGGTCAAATATTAGTAGCTTATGAATGTCTTCTACTCTTAATGGCCATTTTTCGCTGCCGTAAATTAAAACAGAACGGACTGCCGCGCAGTATACTCGTCCTTTTATTGATAGACGGATATCTCGCCTTCGCCATAGATGACGTAAGTTGGCAAAAGCCAAACGAGCTTTTCGAATCCGTACTGAGATTTCGCCAGACACCAACCCATTAGGGCTGATCAGACTTCCAAGACAAGTGAAGTTGTCAACGCGTTCGACTACTACATACTTAGATTATATGTATGTGTTTACATATTGATCAACTATTAGATACATGTGACTTTTGAGCATGAAATAATTACAATCATATTATTAGTATACATGTATACATCCTGACATAGTTATTCCCCATAATTATCTTATTTTTTTTACATGTTATGTATAGTATATGTGATGCTTGTTTAAAAATTCACATATTGTAACTTTTGGTATATATTCTTCTCTGAAATTAATATTTTCCTGGTGATTGAAGTAAATTACACCTTTGAATAACAAAATGATTAACATTTTTTTAAATGAGAAAACCAAGGAAAATTAGTCATGATTTAATTTTTAAAACTAATAATTGACAAGTAAGCATCTGAAGGAATAAGTTATTGGTTATTTTGTCTTATTTAAAATATGCAGAAATTCTAACCGTTAAAAAGTTCACGGAACTTTAAATGATTTATGCATACATATATATGCCTTCTATTCTTAGTCACTAGTCATATCTAGATAATGATTACTCCGACTCACTATGTTCTATAGAATAGAAGTAGGTTAGAATAAGGTTTAGACAGGTGGAGGCAGATTCATAGAAGTTATCATTCCATGCAATTATTGATTATTCATTTGAACAATTTTATGATTTACGAAATTGATAGTTGTGGTCTATGAGATTATCATGATGTATAATTTCAGACCTTCAGTGATATGGGTGGAAATTGATGATAGATATACTTTTCCTTCATATTATTCTAAAACTTAAGTCTCAATATTAGCTGGTATCTTTCTTCCCCCAGTTTCATTTGGACCTATTTAAATATATTTCTTTTATTCAGCTTTTGGCTACTGTTGATATTATCCTCTTGTCGTAATCACTCTCTATCTTGTTAATTTGCTTTCGTTGTGTCAAATATGAAATGTGACAAATTCCACTGAAGACAGATGTGAACAAAAAAGCGAAAGTAAGAAGTCAAAGAATGAATATTTTACTATTGTTATCATCGAATTTTAACCGTATCATATTGTCTCCAAAAATTGAATACTATAAGTTTGATAACATTTGTTAGAAAGCGTTTATTTCCCTACGCAACATAGACCAAAGGTCAACACTGTCACGATTTTATGTTACCATTAAGTCTGATCATCCTTGATTTTTCCCGACCATTGTTGCTACCTTGACGTGGTGGTTTGCTTGCTTATCGTGATGAACCAATCGACCTGCACTGGCTGGAACAATCGTTCCTCAAGGTCCTACCATGTCAGACAGGTCAGTTGAAGAGCGGTAAGACTAAAAGCAGCAAACCAAAGGTCTGAAGGTGAAGTCATACAGAGGTGTAACGGCAGTAAGATGTTTCCTTCAGAAAACCAGCATAATAGCGATGCTGCCTTCCCACAAGGTGGGGTGGGGTTAGAAAAGGTCGACCCCAAAAATGCACACCTCGCCTTATCCTACGGATATCCGTCTCCGGCTGTAAGGTCTCAACAAGTACAGAGCTAACACTAAAATTACCCACAAAAAGGTTGTGTGTGGTCGACATCGAGCAGTTATCCCTTGGGCACTGTGGTCACGCTATCAGGTCACTAAGACCACCTTTAATCCAATTTCTTTTTCACGTACCTCCAGAAGAATCCTTCCATGGTGTGGGCAACCGGGAAGTGATAACTGCCCTCATACCTCTAACAGCATCCATAATCAACCTCCCTCTTCAATTCCTATTAATCCTCCTACATTGACTTTCAACGCTAAACTTCCTTTTTTGGCTTCCCCCTCAAGTGTCATCATAGCCAACGACTCTAGTGCGCAAAACACTGTCCCAGGTCTTCCGAAACCTCGCTCCAAACTACACATTGCTACCTTCAACCTACGCGCTCTGTGTCAAATCGGTCAGCAAGCCTCCTTGGTTCAAACCATAGGATCTCGCACCATTGATGTATTCTGTGTTTCCGAAACACGCATACAGGATCCTAGTGTGTTCATTCACTTTACCTCACCTCGCTAAAATGGCGAGCCGACGAGATACACCCTCTGTGTATCTGGCGACCCGATGGCAAGTTCTCGTGGGCCGGTGGGTATAAGCATAGCACTAAGCATGAGGGCGGAACAAGCGCCATTAGAGTGGATCCCCGTTAACAGT